TGTATTTTTAAAATTATTCTATGAATTCTATGCCAAATCTAATAATATGAATAATAAAATATATAAATAATAATCTACGCGTGGCAGATCCGCATGCAGCCATATTATGGTACCAAGAATCGCTAACCCATTCGACTCGGCTCGACTGGGGAAACCACGCCCTCACGTAATACCAGCGTAATGTGTTTCGTGTTGTTAGTATAGACAACCGGAAAACCTTTTTACTGGAATTGAGGCATTTGACATTATTCCTCAGTGGCCACAGCGTCCACTTACCATCAGGTGGACTGTGAGCTCGTTCGTCAAACTTATTCTTTAAAAATATGTGGTATTCATGTGATTTTTCAGAACTATTAAAGGCGTAAATTATCTAGCAGGTGCAATGATTGAAAGTAGTTAATATTACTGTAAACATTTTTTATATTATTTACAAGATGTGAGATTTAATATCAATTTAGTATCTTGAAAACAATTTTAATAACCGCCTTCATAAAATTTGCATCTGTTACAATACTCGTACAGTAAGCGATTCAATGCTGTGCAAATTTATGCGCTGGTAATTAAACGTTTCATGTTTATTACAGATACAACCATACAGATAGTTTGTTTACATTTTCACAGTTATATTATTAGCTTTGGGCAATATTTCATTATTATTATGAAATGATTATACGTACGTACAGTGGCGGTGTAAGAGCATCCACTCCATACCCTGGCTATCCTAAAAGGCGGTTGAGGAAAATAAAAATTTGAGGTGGGTAACAGCATCTTCCTGTGACAAAAATTCCAATTAATTAAAAACAACTGCGATTGTCAACCTGATTGCCAAGCAAGACAACTACGGCAAATAAAAAATGGGGCATACCTTTGAGGGAGGCCTATTTTTAGCAGAAGACTTGGCTATAATGGTAATGTAATTATTGGAAAAGCTCATAAAACTAACTCGGTGCTAAAGTATGATGGGGTTCTACCATAATTAATAAAATTTATTCAGTAAAATAAATAAGCATATAATTAGATACATTTAAAAAATTGATATTTTGATTTGGACGGAAAACGGCTTAAGTTATAAGATAATGCGACAAGGATCAATCAAATTTATTTATGACGGTATAAATTACCCCATTATAGTTATAAGTGCTAACGACCTAGACCGTGAACTTTCGCTTGTGTCTTACTTGCATACGTGTACCGAAGATTTCTCTTTATTTTTTTATAAAGCCTATACTGAATATTTTAGAATCTTAACAATATTTCGTCAAAACTCTAGTTTTATATAAGTATACATAACAAATGCGCTATCCCCATGCCATCTTGCAGCCGCATACCCTTTGCCCCCACTTTCAAAAAGAGATGATAATATATCACAATCATTATCACATCATCATCATCACAGCCCCGTACAAGTCCAATGCTAAGCATAAGCTTTCCCCCAGGTACTTAATATTTTTACATATAGTATGTTTAACAGATTTTGTTCACTTTTAACTTTTGTTATTAAAAATCAATTTTCTTATATTTAATAATATGGTGCTACGATAAAGAAGTGGTACCAATACTAACACACCATTTAATAATTTTTGAATATACAAATATACTTTTTCTAACATTAACAGTATTTACATAAAATCAAATTACAATTTCCTTAATTGAATGTTAATGTGCTTTATTTAAATTTAACATACCATTACTATATCGCTCCTAACCTCTTTCATACACAATTCGAAATAAATGCTTAAAAACTTCAGACACGGGTCGTAAATCGTTAACTTTAAACGTTTTTTGGTTAAACAAATGTGAGCATAAATTAGTCGAGGATTGATAAGGGTATCTCTGACACGTAGAAAAAGGTTTTAAACATAGCACCTGTGTACGAAAATCTTGGGAAACGACGCAAATTATTTTATTGCAAGTACAGATTTTATAAAGCTGTGACTCTTAGCAATAACTTCATGAAATATTTGCTTTTAATAAAACAACTTTACTATTGATCTTCACACCTTTAGGAGTTATAAAATAGCCGCGGATATCTACGATCTTAGTTTAATACGAGTACATCTTTTTCTCTTGTATTTATTTTAGTAGTAATGAGAAAAATAAGGTTTGATCTGAAATGTTAATAATTCAGATATCGTCGGAATTTTAAAGAATATTATAGAAATTTTTTAATACAATGTATTCTCTGACAGTGAACCTGGAACGTGTTTATTCAATGCAGACCGAATCAGAATGCTTAAAACACGAAGCGAGTTATATATACATGTGCTCGAAATTGATTTGCGATAAAATCGGTAGCGGTGATATCCGAAGTAAAATTAGTGTAATCGACATAAATCAACGAATCAGTAAGCTAAAATAGCAATGGACCGGCCATGTATAACCAATGGGGCAGAAAAGGTTCTCGTGGGGTACCTCGTACCGATAGCGAAATGATGTCCTTGTAAGACATGCAGAGAAATCGATGGATGCAGGTAGCTCTGGACCGTGTTGTGGCATTATTTGGAGGAGATCATATGTACAGCAGTAAGTATACTACTGGAAGGACTCTGATGATCATGACTGGAAAATGTTTACGACGTGAAAGGTCCAGTTATTTACTTCGGAGTTCGTCTGGTGACCGTTGTACGTGTACACATTGTAAGTGTTGTGCTGTAGCCTATTAAAGTCCACTGCTGAACATATTCCTCCCCCATAGATTGCCATGCAAGGGGATAATTACTATAGTTGCCACGCTTGGCAAGCGGGTTGACAACCACAGTTTTTTTATTTTTAGTCGCAATTAAGAAGATGCTGCTACCCAACTCCTGATTTGTTTCCCTCTGTCATATCTGGTTAGTACGGCCTTATTACTAAATTTCTTCTGTAAAGTAGCAGTGCGTTTACTGAAATATATCAGTTTGAGAAGTTTGGAACTAGTGTAATAAGTATCAAAATGTGAGGAATTGTATTTTAATTAACACAAGTGACAACGCTTCTGTAACATTTTTCGTTTAAAAATGGCTGCAGCTGCCCATAAGACAGTCCATAAGTTGACGTTAAAACTCTTACTCTACAGTGTGTTGTTACCTCATTTATCACTATTATTTAAAAAGTCACATAGCCCTGAAAATAACTAGTATGTAACATAAATGTATAATGGCTTCATCTAAAGTTCGAGGTCAAGATTAGAGGCTGATAAAATGCAGTCCACTAATTTACACGGTAAAACATCAAAGCTCTGATTTAAACATATATATATATCAATAAGAAACTATTAGTTTTCTTTGATATGTGAAGTCTGCCTCAGTAGACTCCAGTACGCCAAACGTGGCGATTGTGGCGAATCCTTATTATTGGTAGAGGCCTATGGCCAGCTGAGAAATGTTGTATACCTAAGGGTTAATAAAAAATACAGATATAAAACTATCTAGTATATGTCCATGTAACTAGATCTAATACAGTAACAACGCAATGTCCGATGTCCCGGCGGGACTGTTGGACACGCCTCAATAAATTAACACGTAATTCATAGTTACGTGTTTGCGGCCGCATGTAATCAGGCCCTTAGGTATTCTCAATTTTATTGCCTAACTCATCCAATTTGTATTTAAGTTTAAATGTTTATAATAAACGTATATAACATAATATACCATTTTTAGAATTATTATCTGTCTTGCTTTGTTGTAGAGAACCGGACACTTTTTACTGTAACATCTGTTAAACGAGGAGAACTGTAAATGAGATATTCTATCTTAGTTGTCAGGAGTTACTTATTATTATTCTTAATCGAGGATAGATTTAAATGTCTATGCGCCATAGCATTCACTTACAGTTTGGTGGACTGTGTGTCTGTGTGTTCGTTTTTTTACTATAATTTTTATTATTATGATTAAAAAAAGTATTCTTAAAAAAAGCTCATTCTAACTCTTCATCATGACAAATTTTTATATTTTCATTTATCTAAAGCTCTATATCTATTACCAACACGACAGTGGTAGAGGAGGCAGACACGCCCAATACAAAATTTACAAGCGTGCATAAATAGATACTCGTAGGTACGTTGGTACAATCGGCGACATTGACGGCTGCCACCGGACCGCCGCATCCCCAAACATTTATTAAAGATTCAGGAAAGCTGTGCAGTAGAATTCGCATTACAATTATATTTTTGCAACATTTTATGTTTAACTACATGCAATTATTGTGCTCGTTATGTGAAAAATAATAGATTTTATGTTCGTAAACAGTATTTATCTGTTCAATAGCATGACATGTTCAATGTTTTAATCGACTACAAAATGTATGGATCACGTCCAGGAAAAGCTGACTATAGAATATTCCACTAGCATAATATGACATAATAAAAAAGTAAAACATCTATCTCTAAGTGCTTTAAAATGCATCTAGTTTTTTGAACGAATTATAAAATAAAATACAATATTAGAAATTCTCGAAATACTGCTAAAACGACATCGGGAAACAAGACTTTTAAAGTTAAAGAAATTTCCATGATTTACAGAAAATGTTTATTCTATTATTCCATGAATGAGGGTACAAATTTTGTCAATAATTTTCACCCGCGAGAAACTTCGTCATGAAAATCTGTTGCTGACTCGTGGACTATATTATAGTTTTCTCTCTTTCCAAAATCATTTTTTGACTTTTATGCCGACGGATATGGGTCTATTAGCTGATACATTGCTTCAACGAGTAACCCATGATAAATACTCTAGCAGGCGTTTGCTCAGCGCCAAGCTAATTTCCATACACTAGTAATGTTTACCAGTCTGTGCTATTTGTGATCAGTAATTTTTATGAATTTTCCGCCAACAATCTGTAGCCAGATCTTCCTCTGTTAATCAGCAGTTTGTGGCAATATTTATGTATTTACATAATTTTAAATAGCTTAATTTCCAACCACAATTAGAAAGAGTAGCATTTCTTTAGCAGAAATCGTTTTCAAAAAATGTAGACATAACAAATTTAAACTACTCAACCCTTTACTCTGTTCTTCGCATGGCATGCATACATCAATGTTGGTGGACCATTATTCTAATTGGTCACAAATTATGCCTGATCGGGTTAGCGTTTAGCTTAGTTTAGCTTTAGAAGGGCGGTCACGGACTGCGACGTAATTCACTTTGCTGTCTGTTGCGGTTGATTGTTGTGATTGACGTTCGCGAATCGCGACTATTGTTGTATAAGCATGCGCTATTTTGAAGTTAAATTATAAATTCGGTGACGTTTCTGCAGTATATCATTTTTTTAGTTTAACCTTATATTTTCTATCACTGATAGGAAATTGAACACGTAAGAAAGACATGTAAGTAAGATTTAAGTTATATAAAAATAGTTTTTTAAACATTAATCTTTTATAACTCTTTTGATACCATAAAATTAATTTTTGGATGAGCAAATATTTAGTATAAGTATTGAATGTTAAATTCATGAATGTCAACAATCACGACAATTTGTAGGTACATATATCAATGTGATCTTAGCTCCTGTTAAAGATTAACTAGAATAACAAGAGATTACTTTAAAAATGAAAATCGATTTCGATTATCTTAATGAATTAATAGAAAGTTGTAAAGAATAAGAGAAATTATGGATATTCACAATACAGTCGAATTATTACGTTTCGAATAATTCCGTTTAAATAAACGTCGGAATAAATCCTATTTTAAAATCGGATAAAAACAAAAATAATTTTTAATACGTAACAATAAGTTTAACATTATAATATTTTAAAAGATATTTGTAAATCTATTCCTTAGCCTTTTTTCTGTTTATTTATTTTAGTTAAATGTATTATAATTAAAATAATATTTCTTTAAAAATTCCTTTTGATTAAACTTTCAAGGCGGAATTCTCTCTCCTCTCCTGTCAGTCTTTATAAATCTCATTACATCCCATATTCGCTGTTCGTACCATCTGTATGCTGATGACTTACAAATGTATGCTCAAACTGAGGTGGCAGGTATCGATGATGTGATTAAGAAGCTTAACTACAACCTTAATAGTATTTATTATCGGTCAGACTTTACAGTTTTATACGTGGTAGAGCCATGCTGCAGTTATATTAGTAGTATAGTTGTAGCACGAATGGGTCGGCTCGACCGGGGGAAGGACCACGCTCTCACAGAATACCAGCGTGAAATAGTAGCTTAATGCTGCTGTATTTCGTATGGTGAGTGTAGAGAACCGGAGACCCTTTTTACTGGAAACGAGGCATTCCATCTCAATCCTCACGGGTGCCAACGCATCTGCATTTTGATTTTTAATGGAGGATAGATGTAGATGTCTATAGGCCGCAGCAACCACTTACCATCAGGTGGACTGTGTGCTCGTTTGTCACCCTATTCTATAAAAAAAAAAAAAAAAAAAAAAAAGACGGATTTGGTATTAGGGTTAATCCATCAAAGTGTCAGGCTATTGTGGTTGGTAGTTCTCGTAGATTGCCTAAAATTGATATGAAGGTGCTACCTCCTATAATTTTTTATAATGTTACTATTACTTACTCAACTGATCTTGGCTTAGTACAACACCCTCACTTGGTGACCGCATATATATGAAGTGAGCAAAAAGGTCACTCACACTGCGTTATCTGTATAGTCTCAAGAATTTTTACCGATAGGGACTAAGGTGATGCTATACTGACTCTAGTGTTGCCTATTTTAAATTATGCAGATGTTTGCTATGCTAATGCCTCTCAAGAACTTCTAAACAAATTGGATCGACTTCTTAATAATTGTATACGCTTCATTTTCGGTTTACGTAAGTACGACCACATCTCCTCCTATCGTTCTCAGCTTAAATGGCTACCTCTCCGCTATCGCAGATATTTCAGAATACTGTGCACATTATTTTCAGTTTTACACGATCCGTTTGTCCCTGAATATCTGAAATGTAAATTTCAGTATCAGGGTGATTCTCATAATCGTTGTCTCCGTTCTGCGGAAAAGTCTAAGTGTGCCCCTCTGTCACACTAGCTTCTTGTATAAATCTTTTACGTCTCATGCGGTAAGATTGTGGAACGAGCTACCGAGCAGTGTACGTGCAGCCACGAGCAAGGCATCGTTCAAACGCTTGCTTTGGAATCATTTTCTGGCGTTGCAGGAGTAGTTTGTCGATTAACATTTTTTATATCCTTAAATTCTAACTGTTCCCTTTTCCTGTTTTTATTTCAAATAGGTGTTTGAATCAGAAACGGCTATATTTAATTTTGTATGTACTATATATATAGCATATTAGGGCGGCATTAAGCATATATATGTATATATTTATATATCTTGTATGTATATCTATATAATAATATGTATGTATAATTATGTTTATGACATGTAATGCAATATGTAATGTTTGATTGCATATTGCATTACATGTTATACACATAATTATACATACACACACACACACACACACACACACACACACACACACACACACACACACACACACACACACACACAAAATTGCACTTTGCACCCACAATACCTTCTCTGCTTAGCCTGAAGGTAGATAGTCAGAGAATGCCTTGTTGCATTAAGTCCGCCTTTTTGTACTCAGTGTGCAAATAAAGCATAAATAAATAAATAAATTTTCACAATCATAAAAATTAAATTTGAAATAGTAATTAATATAGGCTATTGTTGTACTTACTCATTTATTAAGACAAAACCAATATACTTACAATCAATGTTTTTTTGGTGTTGTTGGTATAATTTATCATTATATGAACATTAACTTATATATTACTAGAATCATTGTATACAAATGGTGAATACGATTTATGCGAAACAGTATCAATTTCCATATTTAGACTTTTCTAGACGAAATTTCAAAAACTCATTTAACAAGTTACCTTAATATAGCCGCATTAGCATAACATGAAAATCCCATAAACATATCACATTTGTTTCAACACCCTTTTGGGTAGACGGCAATGAATCGTCAAACTTTCCCTTTGGAGGACGGAACACGCTTTATAATGAGCAGTGGACTGACAACAGTTTCCCTTCTGAGTTTTGAACACTTATAATACAAGTTATTTTATTTCCCATTAATATTTTATTCAAAAAAATATTTTATTTTATTATAAACAAAACCAATATTTCGTTCAATTAATTGTTTAAAGTTATTTATAATTCTGTATGTGTCTAAATTATTAGAAGGGACTTACGAGTATAACAAAAAAGAAAGTACGAACTATGTTACTTGCCCAGCATGTCTTAACTGGCGATTATTGAAAAATTGGGTTTGTGATGGGCTTGTCCCATCACAAATCCACAATTTTTCATCTCAATCCATATTTTATGGCTAAAAGTGATCTGAAAAGCTCGCTGCACTTTGGACTCTGCCAAACCACACGGGGAATACAGACGTGACGCTCATGTACAATAAATCTACAATATTAAGTAAATTTTGTTTAAAAGTTATCTAAATTACAATAAATTGTTTAAAAAGTATATTTTTAAAATCATAAAGTATTATAAGATTTAAAATTCGACGAGCACACAGTCCACCTGATACTAAGTGGTTGCTGCGACCCATAGACATCTACATCTATCCTCGATTAAGTACAAATCAAACTGTAGATGCGTTGTCACCCGTAACGATTAAGATGGAGTGCCTCGTTTCCAGCAAAAAGTGTCTCCGGTTCTCTACACTCACCATACGAAACACAGCAGCATTAAGCTACTATTTTACGCTGGTATTCTGTGTGAGTGTGATCCTTCCCGGTCGAGCTGACCCATTCGTGCTACAACTATACTATTAATATAACTGCAGCATGGCTCTACCACGCACAAATCCTAACGTATTCTAACCAAACAGCAAAGTAATGAAATAATCTCTTAGCATCTGTCTTTCTATCCGATTATAATGTCAAGGCAAGAGTGAATAGGTTTTTGTTAAGCTAAGTTAGTGCATTTAACCATCTTAATCAGCACGTAGAAAACCAAACACTGGCTTATAATAGTGAAAAAATGACTGATATCGATATAAAAAACGATTGATATCGATATAAAAAACGATTGATATTGATATAAAAAACGATTGATATCGATATAAAAAACGACTGTTTTAGTAAATTATATATCGATATAAAAAAACGACTGACATCGATATAAAAAAACGACTGATATCGATATAAAAAAACGATTGATATCGATATAAAAGTTTGTGTAAACTACAAACTCAGTGTTAGAGTTCATCGTATTTTTCAATTAAATTAAGGAAAAAATATGTAACACGCACAAGAAATAAAGAATGTTAATTAAAATTGAGTACTGCAGATCTTTATGTTGAGGTGGATTTAAAACGGAAGGGGTTATCTACTTACACTTAACCCCTTCCGTTTTAAATTTAACATTGTCAACTTAATATACGATGTAGGTGTGGTAGTATGGACAGAAAAAAGGCTTTTATTGTGTTAGATTTTATTTTGTTTGATTTTTGTTCTAATGCTTATCTACAACTGAGGCCTTAACATTAGCGCTGTAAATATAATCAAACCTTGCACGGTTTATTTTTATTACAGCCTTTCACAAGTCCACTAAAGGTAAAGGCGCCCCGCACCATGGTATGCCATAAAACATGGTCCTTGTGCACTTGCATCTATCACTCACGATCCATTTTTCTAATTATGTACTCTTATAATGTTCGAGTGTAACTATATCTTCGTTTTGCACGACTCATAACGCGAAGCGTTTGAGATGGTGATTTTGTTTATTATATCAATGCATGAAACAGGATAGACCCACGCTCAAGAGTTGACTTTTACGGGCTGATAAAGACAAAGAAAAAGATGTAAGTCCGGTCACTTAGCCGTCAGCCATTGCTGAGTTAATTGATGATGATGAGATGATACTACGTTTAGAGGGACACACGTGTCGTATTATCGACAGTGGTGGGTATTTTCTAGTTAGTGATGTTGGGAAAAGTGTTGGTGGGATTAGCGGTGACGGGGATAATGCACGCAATTGGGACGAGAGGTGCTCTTCAAACTAGGTAAGACGCGTTATTTATATTTTTAATACGCGCATCGTAGCTAATTCATTTTTAATAATAATAATAATAATTTATTAAACTTCAATGTGTAGTACATACAGAAAAGAAAATCTTACATTTTAATATTCCGTAACACTACTCTAGACTAAATCTAAGTAGATTTAGTCTCCTGCGAACCATACATAACTTGATTATTAAAAACAGTGCGTGATCACTTTATCTTTATCTGTATGGGCTCTTGTCACGGATTTACGTATATAAGAACGATACAGAACAGTATGCATTATATTTTAGAGTTTTACAAATTTTTTTTAGTTTTGCCATGAGAAGCATTTAAGTAAACGTTCAATTAAGGTACCTAGACATATTGATTGAAACTACTTTTACGGATTTTATCGCGTTTAATTTTAAATGACGACTCCGTGGCGCAGTGGCTTAGCAATGAGTGGCTGCGCGGGGGGTCGCGGGTTCGAATCCAGCACGGAACAAGTATTTGTACGGCCTACAAGTAGTAGTTCCGGGTCTGGATGTTCGTCCTTGTGCAATTTATGTTTGTAAACTGCCCCCACAATACAAGAGAAAATCTTAGTGTAGGGGTAACGTTTTTAAAAATTAAAAAAATTAAATTAAATTAATGATTTTTAATTCCCGACGTTTCGGGTATTTTCCATATCGGGAGGGATATCGGGACGTCAGTCACCTCAGTCCCCCGTGATCATGAGTGCTGGAAATCATTCGAAATATCGGGAATTAAAAATCACTTAAAATTAAACGCGATAAAATCCGTAACAGTAGTATTAATCAATGTGTAGTGTTCGCGTAAACATAAGAAATCATTATAGCTATACATATTTTTATTTCAATCTTGCACACGTAACAACCACAAACCAATAAAGGGTATTATTGGTCTGGGGTAATAAATTAAAAATTCTCAATAGCGACTTGATAACACTGTAACTCTGCGTCATTCGTTGTTCACCGTCTTATAAAAAGAGAGTAACTATATTCTTTTTTTTTACCTCACTCAACTACGACTATCTTACATCACTCAACTACGAGTACATATAACCAATCTTAAAAATTACACTGTCGTCATTCCGTTATTTCATTCTTATATCTGTATATGCACACAGAACCGAATTGCATGTTTCTTAGATGAAAATAACAAAATAATTTACGTGCAAATAAAACTAACGAAACAAGTGAATTTCAAAAAAGACGAACCAAGAAGCGTGGCAAGCCCCGACTATGTTTTATTCAAATTTACTTACATTTATACTAACGGGAACGACCTCTGCTACCCGGAATTGTATTCCCTCGCCACACAATATATCTTCTTCACGCTGCCTGTACTGCGTTCTACTTATTTATTTCTATAGCGTACCTGTAACCGGAAGACTGATATGTTTTGTTTATATTTTGCCAAACTTTGTAAAGTAAACATCAAAACAATATAATGCTTATAGTGATTTTTTTTCGTTTGGTGAGTGATACGAACCGGACTTCATACTGACAACAAGGCACTCCATCTAAGTTCTGAGAGGTGATCATGCATCTGTATTTCAATTGGTTATCGAGGATCGACATCAACTTACCTTTATGGACGGTGTGCTCGTTATTCATCATTTTTTCCATAAAAAATCTATACCGAATTGTTTTACAGCATCATTCGTAAAAAGTTATTTAGACATTTATTATATCAAATATTGTTAGTAGTTCCTTTTTGTCTAGGAGTCTGGGTAAGTATGGGTGATACTTACTCTTACTCATTTCTGCCACTGCCACACGAAATAAATAAATTGGCAATACTTATTAATTTATTTATTTTTAATTAACCTTTTTATAAAGTTGGTCGTTTAGTTAATGAGGGCTATTATAGTAATTAAAAGAAATCAAACATGATCAGATTTAAAAAAAAAACATGTACCTACCTAAACCCATATGTTAAAATCTACTATACATTATGAATAACACTGTGTTGTTGTGACTAATTAAGTATTTCTTTCTTACATTTTTTACACACACAATTGTTACACTAGTATTTTCTCCCGTATCGTGTAGGCAGTTTACATACATAAATTTCACAAGGATGAACTACCAGATCCGTAAAAATTATTTGTAGGCTTACAATTAATTACTTGTTCCGTATCGGATTCAAATCCGCGGCCCCCAGCGTCACAACTCAAACTTAAGCACTGCGCCATGAAGCCGACAATCCATAATAAAAATTGCATTTTACGTAATAGCGCATTTTAAAATTGCTACGCTATGATAATTTTTAAATTTTTCCAAGTCTGTTATCACAAAAATTTCTAAGATATTAACCAATGCGTTTAGATTTAATAGAAAACCCAGGCACAATAAAATACCATGCAAAAAATAAATATTTACATACTCGCCTTTTTCATTCATTTAAAAAATATATTCACTTCTATTTTACGCTTCTGTATTTACATTGTTATATTTAAATTTCTATAATAATGAATGTTAAAAAATATTATGCAGCTTTATTATGTAAGGTTCGTAATACCATAATGTGAAATAACTTCTTTCTATCGAATATTGTAAGGTCTACAATACATAACGCTGTATGTCTTATAAATTATTATGGTGTTAGCTCACAGTTCATTTGCTGACGAAGTTCAGTCCCTCTGGGAATAGAGCCAATCACGGCGCGTGGAGTGAAACCTGAACTTATTATGGCAAAAATTACGGAAAGCAGTCAAGAAGATATATTATATCGATATATGTATAGAACTGATGCAAATGTTTGTGTATAAAAATTACTTGCATTTAATCTTCTTAACCTTATCTACCTATAATATGCATTGATATTTCCATGAAATAATAATAATAATAAGTGTTTATTTCAGACGTAAGGAACATCCATAGATTGTTAGTATGTTAGTAACAATTTTCCTTAACTTCTAAGTTAGTATTGTTAGTTAATGTGAAATATGTACAAATTATTTTTTTCGCCCAATAGCTACCGTCATACAGTGGTGCAGTATGGGGCAGTCGGGCCTGGCAGCAATTACCCTTAGGATGCCGTTGTTGCTGGTACGTAAGCGCTGCAGGAGAGACGCTGCTTTTCTACGCATTACGGCGAAAAAGTCATTATTGTGTGCGTCTGCGAACATTTTAGAGGCACTACAGCGCCACGGCAGCCTCAACAGCATCCTATATTGAAAACGCAGGGCGCTGTAGGTCCGGCGCGTATAAGTCACCCACAGACCACCGGTATAGAAAGACTGACAGAACGCTTTAAATGAAATGCATGAATGCTTTGGATAATGACACCACTTAAAAAAAATATTATACGCAACTCGAATAATCCATTTAGTAATTTTAAGTAAAAGGTAATAAAAAATAGATAATTGACATATGTATTATACTATGTGAGTGATAATGAAATAAACGACCCCTAAACGCGAACTCGTTTAGAAATAATTTTAAGGATATATCGCCGCTTAGTCCATCGCAGTAAATTTACCGCGATGGACTCAGCAATCGACATGCAATTACATGTGGGAAACTATGAGTACAGTCTCTTACTAAAACTATACTTGGTGTTCTTTTCTGGAAGTAAGAAGCCTACAAGTGTACCTATTTAACTGGCAGGAAAAAGTAAAGAAGAATGTAAGCTAGTTTGAGTATTTGAGCCACATACGAGTAACTACTAGTGAAATAAAAGTTAATCTGGACGTATAACGACAACAGAGTAGATCGGCATTTAGATGAAACATGTTGGCTCGCAGGTTTGCTGTTTGTTGCCAGTTAAAACTGCGCATATTGTCTACTATTTTACACCAGCAGCTTATGGATTAACTTCATTAAAAAGTCTAAAATGCTCTCCAGGTAAAGTAGGTATGGTAGCCTTCAGGGCAGTGTTGGCGTTGCTCTGATATAGTAGTGCGTTTCTTATTTTTTTGCGCAAGAGCGCGCATATGCCATAAGGCGAAAACTCATGGCAACCCTGCTTGGCAGAGTGCAGACCAGCTCCAACAGTGTCCTAGTAACCATTGCTGATAAAGTTAACTGACCTTTCCTGAAACACTAGGTAGCCACAGTTAATAATAAATAAAGATATACGAAATAATAAATAAAATTATAATTAATAAAAATACAATACACAAAAACTAATTTATTTATTTTATAAACAACTATGTATATTTATACCCACCCAGATGAGAAAAATATATAAACACAAAAAAAGATAATAGTAATAATAAAGTTCGTCGTCTAAAATTTCGAAAAAGTAATATTTTAAACATAATTATTGCTTTGGAATTAAAATACTAGTGAAGTAAATATAAAAATTTATTGAATTTACTAAAAATATATTTGAAATATTAAAAAAGTATTAAATAATAAAAATACAAGACGATTACGATAATAAAGAAAAATAACATAGAGTCATATTATAATTGGAAAATGTGTCAAAATATGTAGAGTGTGTTCATGTAATGCCTTATTTTGATAATATATCCAAAACTATTCGTTCAAATTTCAAAATAAAAATGTATTGTATAACAATTTTACATACAAAACCATCATTCAATATTTGGACCAACTCCAAGGATGTCGATTTTTCTATACATTGTTCGAGATATACCGGAGACGAGCCAGACATCAAGGAGATCAACCGGTTTGTCTAACAAAGTACAGTAATACGATGTAAATGTCCCATACTATTGGCATATGAAAGTGAAACAAATTATATAATAGTTTTCTAAGATGTAAAAAGCATTATAATTTATAATTACAATAAAGTTGAGCCTTGAAATTCTTTAATTCCCGCTGCGTACTGCGCTTGCCAATCCGCCGCATTATAAACCTACAGGCGATTTGTGAAAAGGTGTAATAACCTTTATAAGTCAGCAATGGACTTATAAAGGTTATGATGATTTCAGTGACAAGCGAGCACACGCCATGATTAAGGTTACCTATAATACCTATAATAAATACGAGTAGATGCCTTTATTTATCTTCAACGTATAGCCAAAGAATCCACAATGTTTCTAAATCTCTTCCAATACCTTGCTCCACTATCCCGATCAACGTCCATGCATTACTAAGTGATATTCCTTTCCTGCCAGGAGTTCGTCTGCTTATCTATTAGGTAAGCAGGCAGGTTACATGCACTGTGGTGTGTTACAGCCTGAAGAGTATAAAGAGCGAGTATAATCACATGATGTATATTCTTCGTCATAGTCCTCAGAGGTGACAACACATCCGTTACCTTCTTGGTTCTAAACAAAGTTGTTAGCTTCGGATATCCATGGGCTGTGGGAACCACTTAGCATCAGGTGGGCTGTAAGTTCCTTTGTCCTTTTAGTTTAAAAAAACCGTTCTGTTATTTTCATATCAAGATAGTCTAAAAGATTACACTAACCATATTTCATTGTCGGCAAAAGTACAACGATATTTAACGAATACTTTTTAAAAATATAAGATATTAAAATAAAAAATGTTACAAACTCAGCAGGCGATGCATCATCGAGTTATAACAGAAGAGATGCCGAGTCGGCTGATGGCGACAATTTTTCAACGCAAAGCGCGAATGAAACAATCCCTGATTAATCCGCCGGTGAGACTATTGAAGCTCAACTTTTAACTAGCGGGATGAGATGATCTTAGTACTTTTATTTTTTCAAGTTACAATTCTTTAAAGTTAAAATGTTCTTTTTAATGTTATTGCATATTTTGCTTCGTATTACTTTTGTAGCCTCCAGCTTGATATGTTTCACTTATCCACAAGTCACGGTTTGTGAATTTTTTTTTAAATAAATTTATTGTAATATATGTGACAATATTTTCTTTAAATATGTATGTTACAGATTCTCATACATACACGTTACATATTGTATATTTAAATCTATAACATATATATATATATATATATATATATATATATATATATATATATATAGTATATATATATATATATATATATAACGTAATTAACGCACACCCTCAGACACCCCAAGTAGTGTATTATGTTATGATCGTAATACATACACTGAATATCTAGTTAAACATTTTATGCACTGATTAAAACTACTTTTACGGATTTTATCGCGTTTATTTTTACTTTTTATTTACTTTTATTTTTATTTTTAATTCCCGACGTTTCGGGCGCTTTCCAGCACCCATGGTCACGGGGGACTGAGATGACTGACGTCCCGATGTCATTGTTAAACCCGGAGTACCTTCAGCTTTTTTTATTTATTGTTTATCGTCCGATCTATGCAAAATGATTCATTTTTATATATTTTTCGCTCGGTTTTTTTTAATTCGTGTGTTTTGGAAATTATATTTAGATACAAATTACATACTGATGAAATACGAATAATATTCTTTGATCTTAGCGACATAATAGAAAAAAATGAACTGGTTACTTGAATAAAAAATAATGAGTGCAATTAGTTTAATTTAAATTTTCGTGTTTTAAAAAAATACTAAAAAAAGGGCTCGAAAAAATAAATTTTCATCACAAAGAAAGGAACTTGATAAAAATTTTAAAAAGTCGGTCAGTCGGTCTGGTCTCGAACCAGTGTATTACGATTTTGTGACCACCCAATATACCAATTAAGCTATTTATAATTATTAATAAACTGTCAAAATTTACCTTCTTATTCTAACTGTATTGTAGCAGCTTTTCATTGCCTAAAATTACGGACAAAAAGACATTTTCTAAAAATAAATCATAGCTAGATCGATTTATTGCCCCCGAAACTCCCTGGACACAAAATTTTATGAAAATCGTTGGAGCCGTTTCCGAGATTCCGATTATAAATATGTACAATACTAATGTACTAAAGCATACATGATTAATGAATTATGAATAAAAAAAAAAAAAAAAAAAAAAAAAAAAAAAATATATTTAAATTTATTGATTCATTTTTATATTTTTCGTTTTGCATAGATCGGACCATAAACAATAATTAAAAAAGCTGAAGGTACCCCGGGTTTAACAATGACATCGGGACGTCAGTCATCTCAGTCCCCCGTGACCATGGGTGCTGGAAAGCGCCCGAAACGTCGGGAATTAAAAATAAAAGTAAATAAAAAGTAAAAATAAACGCGATAAAATCCGTAAAAGTACTTTTAATCATGTATAGTGTTCGCATAAATATAAGAAATCATTATTTTATGCACTGATTATTTATTTAATTAGTTATACTAATTCCAGAAGAATGTTGTGGTCACAGTACAAATCCACGAACGCAAAGACGTGCTTGAAATAAAGTTCATTTTTCTTTATTTTTATTGAATGACAGAATTAGTAATAATACAAAAAAAAAACTGCACTCTTAAAAGTCTTATTGCCTTAAGTTATATCAGTTTCCATTCAGTTTATTTCATTTTCATTCAGGTCCATTTCAATTTATTTTGACTGTACAGATTTAGTGTGACTGTAATTTACGTAGTTTTAATTATTTTTGGGATAAAAAATTACCTATATTAAAAATAATAGGAATCGATTCAGTAAACGATTCTAAACAAACTACTTTCTCAAAGTGCATTAACCATGTTACGTGTTGTATATGTTACGGATTTAAATATATATGTTACAGATTTAAATATACATGTTACGGATTTAAAATTGTACCTAGCAGTACATACTAAGTGCCAACAGATATGACAGACTTACTGCTCAGACAACAAACTACACAATGTATTTCCTCGTATGTCGCAATCTCAATGAGCTTTAACTCCATAACTAATGTTATTTAAAAAAATGTTTACATATTAATACTATAACGATAATAAAGTTATGGCAATGACATAATTATTGACAGATTGACTGAATGAACTGTAAATTTTTTTGGAATTTCTACTAATAGTACCTGGTTGACCGAGCTTTGCTCGGTATTTTTCGCTCGGTTTTTTTTTTAATTCGTGTGTTTTGGAAAATATATTTAGATACAAATTACATACTGATGAAATACGAATAATATTCTTTGATCTTAGCGACATAATAGAAAAAAATGAACTGGTTACTTGAATAAAAAATAATGAGTGCAATTACTTTAATTTAAATTTTCGTGTTTTAAAAAAAATACAAAAAAAAAGGGCTCGAAAAAATAAATTTTCACCACAATGAAAGGAACTTGATAAAAAATTTAATATATGTGTATATATACAAGAATTGCTCGTTTAAAGGTATAGGATAACCAATTGAGGTAAAGAGCGTTTATTTATTAGTTCTTATATTAATAATCTGTGTTTTATTTATGAATGTGCAGTTGAAAGCATACATGTATATATATATATATATATATATATATATATATACATATACATATATATATACATATATATATATATATATATATATATATATATATATATATATATATATATATAATGCAAGTTGTAAATGATATATAGCTTACTAAATATACAAACTTAAAAATTGCGAGCACTAGTATAGAATTAACTAAAATATATATTCCCACTAGCTGATACCCGCTCGCTTCACTGGGCGCATGATAATATTTTATTTCGGGACTAGATGCAAAATATCAAGATTTTTTTATTGGGCTATCGTAAAATAAATTCTTAGTGAGCGTCTGCATTGCGAAATGAGTACTATACCAAATTTGAAGTCAATTACATATTCAAATCAAAACCTTGTCATAATTCAAGTAAACATATTTTTTAAAATTGCCAGCTATTGGCTAAATACACCAACCCTTATAACAGACGCATGTATTTGGTAAATCACAAATAAATTTAAAAATAGTCACTTAAAATATATTTGTCGGTTAAATCATTCTTCACTATGATTTTATATACGTTCAACTGAATAGTATCAAGACGTTTTGTTGCTTTTTATTTTACGTCAATACTATAGAACCTGGGCATTAATATTTTGGTTGAGTTTTTCGCCGCCGTCAATTCCCGGGAGTTGATCTCCGCACAAAGTAGGGGGAAATATTACTTAGGGGGGTATCGTGGTGCTCCGTCTCAATAAATTATCGGAGATGAGCGTGAACATTAACTAATTACCGACACCGATACCTGAGTGATATTTGAAGAAAATTTGGGAAAATTATTATATATAGGAAATTAATTATTATTAGCCAATACATTTTAAAAATGTTTCACAAACACTCAAAACCTTCAAATTCTTCTCACATATAAACATATTCACCATTATTAACCACAGCATTACTTACCATCAAGCTAGAAATTAAAAGTCAATAGTTTGCCTAGTAAATAAATAAAAATATTTTCATATGCTTTTACCATATTCAATACATTCAAACAGTATCATAATTAACTGTTGTTTGGCCAATCTCTGCTTTTTTACAAACACAACTTAAACACGAGGAACCAACTCCAATCTCGCCTCATTGTTGCAAACGAAATGCAAATCCAGACGTTTCACCCTTTGCCCGGCGCCTATATTTAATTCAAAAGAGCGAAATGCAAGTAACAATCGAGCTCGAAACACCGGTAACTGCTGTAAGTGTAAACGAAGAGGAAAGTACGAAAAATTTTTCCCGGCGCGGAAAAAAACAACAAAGTGAAACTCAGCCTTCCTTATTTCCCCTGGCGATGCCCCGCCGACGTTCCCGGTTTTACCCCGGAAATGGAAAATATTGCGATAAGGCGCATTATAGATTAAACACGTCCCGTGACTTTAATGTGTTGTACGGTGATCAAGTGTGTCTGATAGCGTGTATGTACGCCTTTAAAAGTTGTAATGATGTTTCTGAAGAAAATAATGATCGAACGATAAGTACTCTGCCATTTGCGTACGCTTCTTATGTTAATCTTGAAGAAGGGTGTGTACAATGCCTAATATAATATATCATGTGGTAATATTTCGTTTCTATCTTATATTGACTACCTGCTGTGCTGTTAATGTTTTTTACCATAAATGCAATATATTTGATTTTTTTAAATATCTAATCTTGAATTCTCATCTGTTTATCTGTTTATTCAACTGTATTGTAGTCTTTAAATAAATATCTAATAATTTTACTGAAAAAAGGGCGACTTTCAACTTTTAACTCAATCGATTCATTCGTATTTTCGCTCGAATGTCAGGAATTAAAATTAACATAAACATAACATAAACACTCACGCCTGTCACCCAGAGGGGTAGGCAGAGACTACAGACTTCCATTTGGCATGATCCTGACACACCTCTCTCGCCTCCTTCACATCCATATACCTACGCATACATGCTCGTCGGTTAAGGGTACTCCTAATTTGGCCCGTTTTCAATAAATCGCCAATTTGGTCGATAAATTTTCGCCTAGGACGTCCCTTTCCGACTCTGCCATTCACTTCTGCAATATAAATTTTCTTTGTCACTCTTTCCTCATTCATTCTTTCCACATGACCAAACCACCGAAGCATTCCTTTCTTAATCCTGGTCACAACATCATCTTGCAAACCACACTCTTCTCTTATCACACAATTTCTCACCCTGTCATTCAGATTCAGCCCTAACATACTTCTTAACGACCGCATTTCTACTGCGTTCGTTTTACTCTCGTGCTTCTTCTGTCATACCCAACTTTCACTACCATACGTTAAAGTAGGGACCAACACAGCATTATGAATTGCCATACGTGCCTTTTTCGACACATTTTG